GAATACGACAATTAACTTGCAATACAAGGTTTTGTGAGATGCAGCAGATGCAGAAAATGGGCAAGTTTTATGACCGCAATCATATGGCCTCATAATTCCGAAAATATCTTTAAATTCACGTACGTTTCTGCTTAAATATTCAATAAAAAGTACACTTATTTCTTGAAATAGTGTAATATTTGGTATCAAAATAACAGTTGGAATATGTTGAACACGATGATCATTTAAATGCTCTATGAGGAATTGTATTACCGCACCTTCAACACCCACACAGGTGTAAGATATTTATCATAAAATGAATTCTGAAACCAGAGAAGTATATATTACAGAACCTCTGTAATAAAAAAGTATCTGCTGAAACTAACTGTTCCTGATTTAAGCTTACTATACCCATACCTTTTTAGATTTATCTTGTTTTGAAATTTCAAGCGGGGCCGACACTTATGTTAAATCTCCATAGGCGTAGACCCTACCTTTCCTTGTCCAATATGTAGGTTGCGTTTTCAGTTTTCTTGGTTTTTCTTGTTGGATTTTTTGCTCATCAAAGTTGCATTGTCACTGCCCCGGCTCTTACTTTCAGGACGCGACATCATTTGGATTTGAACAAAAATTCCATGGCGGGTGTCATCGATGAAGCAGAGGGGGCTGACCCTTCTAGAACACCTGGGCCCGTTTTCATGAAACCGTTCTCATGCTCAAGCATGGATTTTGTGCTCAAGTATAATTTCCCGTTATAAATTCACAAAGAGATCTTATTTTGTCAATGGTTTTAGAGAAAAAAAAAATAACAGGTTTAAAATATTAAAGTCAAATACTGTTTTCAAAGTTTACATTTGACTTTTTGGTTGTTTAGCATGATTTAAGCAACTTACAAGAAAAGAAGAATCCATGACTTTAAACATATTTTATCAACCAACATTGGAAAATAGGATTTGGCACAAGATATTACAACTTATGAAGCCATCTCCTTACATCAATAATTCAAAACAACAGATGATGATATAGACTGTCAATTACAATTCATAATAGTATGAAGCGATTTTTAAAGTAACACATACACAAACAAAACAAAACCATATTTTAAAGTCAAGTTCATAATCGAAACATGTTAAAATCTTCCACTGGATCTAATAAAAGTTTGCACTTGTTTGAATACAGCACAATTTGTATTCAAAGCCAGATTTTCATTTCCAAACAGTAATAATCCCAACGTTAGATGTACATTTAAGTGAATTATATGATCAAAAAGTACAGTACGAGCATTTGTATAAGGTTGACATTCAAAGAAGTAGTGATAGGCATTTTCGCAATGGTAGCCACAATTTATACAATTGGGGTCTTGGACCAAGTTTGCACGGTAAAGATCATGTTTGAGAGGACTGCATTCGTGTCTTAATTAGAATCCATGCTTGAGCATGAGAACGGTTTCATGAATACGGGCTGGACCAAGTTGTTCAAAAGATGATTACTTTAATCAGTGATTTTCGCAAATTTTATTTTTTGTATATCTTTAAAACACAAACATTGAATTAGTTACAACTTTCCAGGTATAAAAAAATAGTAGAATAATGTTTTACGCCAAATTGTGAGGTTTTGCTTTGTATTTTGACAAAACTATGAAAGGTTGAAAGTTGTCGTTAAACAGTGATCAGCTAACCACCTTTTGAACAACGGGGCCCAGGTTCGTGTTGCCCGGTTGAAACGGTACGTGTGGCGTAGAAATATTCCACGATAAACGAACGCACTTGGACCGTACTGCTATCAAAGTTCGTGGTATATACATATGTTGTCCGAGTGTTCTTAACTTCGAGTTCGAATTACGGTTTTAATATCGCGACACTTAAATTGTTTTCTCATAGATGAATTTAATTAATTCAAAAGTAAAAAAGACAGTTAGAACGTTAACACTGTCATCTCCAAAGTCGCCAACCTATACACACTATATTATAGACACAGACAACGGAAGGAAATACTAGGGTTCTCGATCCCATCATGTCAAAAAGAAAAATTTGGAGGCATAACTGTTATATATATATTGTTGGATTATTCACTGGCCTAACATCGAGTGAAATTTTGGAAAGATTACTATTTATAGTTAATACAAAAGCAGACATTTTTTTAGTCGGTCTGGTAAAATTTAAGAATTATATTTGGTAGGCCCTATTAGAGACGTATATATAATATAGTCTATACGTCTCTGACTCTACATACGAATTCTTTCCGTGTATGGCAATCATCATTATAATTAGTGGGTTTTTTTAAACAAGAGGCCCATGGGCCTTAACGGTCACCTGATATATTTATACAGAGAGTTGATTTTGTTTTTAACATGAACAGAAATATTATTCAAAGTGACAAAAAACAATAAAACCACCTTATTCAATATCTAGCATACAGATTTCAGACTAAAAAGTATTTGAAACTAGCACCTCTGATTCTAAACAAGGAAAATGAAGAAATTTTAGCACACTGACTCCTTTG